TCTTTGTGACCCCATGGACAGTAGCCTGCCAGGCTCCTCTATCCATGGAAATCTCCAAACAAAAATATTGGAGTGGGTAGCCCTTCCTTTCTCCAAGGCATCTTCCCAACTAAGGGATCGAACCCAGTCTCCCACATTGAGGCAGATTGTTTACCATCTGAGCCTCCAGGGAAGTCCAAATAATGACAGGATATGTTAAAAAGATCTAGAAGCCAGTATTTTTAAATTAAAAGGCTCTTGCTGGCCAAATCTGAAATAATTTGAGCATCAGAATGAATGTTTAAATCTATGAATTCATAAAAATATAATTTAAAAAGCTAACTGGTCACATTTAGATAATGATAGGGGCAAATCATTTTAAAAGTCATTAAAGAGAAAAAAACAAAGCATTTATCTGACCTTTCTTAGATAAGTTTAACACTGATTAACCAAAAAGTAGATGAGAAATGTCTCTTTATAGAAACATTCAAGCTAATGAATGAAAACAAAGTTATAGAATTAGAATATCATTATTGTGCAACACCAAATAAATTAACTGAAAAGGAGCAATTGATAATATCACAATAAAGAGAGACAACTAGACACAATGGGCTTCCTGATTAAAAAACACACCACCACTTACAGTCTTGCCAAAGGCATCAAATATGAATGTAAAGAGACATCTGGATTGAGCTGTCCATGTGCAAGCACTGAAGAGGACTGAAGAACATGTCAAAATACTCTATTAGCATGCAATCAGTAAAACCCAGGCTGTGGGCAGAAAGTAGGGTACACAGCTCAAACATTCTGTGGTCTTCAGCAGATACACTGTCATGAAAAGAAAGGGCTAGAGGAGGAAGTATGTAGATTAAGAAACTCAAAACACATCTAAGTCAAATAAACAGGAAATCCAAAGTATAGTGTCCAGGGAAGCACACTTGGATGATGAAAGTATAAAGAAATCCAAGGGGATAATTATCACAAAATTCAAGACAATGGCTATTTTCAGGAGAGGGAGACAACTGTGATCAGAACTGGGCTAGCTGGAGAAGTTCCATTTCTTGATTTAGATGATAGTTTTAAGGGTGCTGGCCTTAAAATAATTCATTAAGTCATATATTTATTTATGTGTGTTTTATTTTTCAGTTTTACAAAGGTTAAAAAAACAACAACACATCATGGCCTTCTGATTACAGATGTGGTAGGCTGATAACGGGTTTCCCAAGATATATCCACAGCCTAATCTCTGGAGCCTGTGAATATTTCCTTTTCTGCAAAATAAGGAAAAAGAGCTTTTATGTGGAAAAAGGGATTTTCCTGCAGATGTGATTAAACTAAGGATCTTTAAATGGAGAAACCATAATGGATGATCTGGGTGGGTCCTACATGCAATGACAAGTGTCCTTATAAGAGAAGAGCAGAGGACGGTCTCATAGAGGAGGTTCCTGAGCAGCAGAAGTAAGAGGAAGATGGAGAGAGATTAGAGTGACAGGACAGGGAACACCAAGTAAGTAATGCCAGCAGCCACCAGAGGCAAGGAATGAATGCTCCTCCAGATCCTCCAGAGGGAGTGTTGCTTTGATGTTGCTTGGCTTTCAGACTCTGGCCTCTAGAACTGTCAGAGAAAAAATTCTGTTGTTCTAAGCCACTAAGGTTGGCTAAAGCATCCACGGAAAACCTATACATCAAGTAAGTTGTAGGGCATGGCTGGTCAGTATTCCTCCTACAATAAGAAGCTAGAAAGGTTATAAAAACCATATTTTCTTTTTTAAAGGAAACAAGGACATGTCAAAGGAATGAAGACTAAACCAAGTTAAATTGCAATGACAAGAGAATCTTTCCGAAGTGAGCTGAGCACAGGCTAGAGCTAAGGCCTAACTTAGGTAGAATGTCTCTGTTTGGGGAAGAGAAATCACTGAAGATTTTGATGGTCATGCAACATTGGAGCGACAAGTGAAAACTTAAGGGGCCTCAGATGATGCCTAGTTTTATATATGAAAAATGTGCTGAACAACGTTCATGAGACTGGAGAGTTGGGCTAAAAGCGTCTAAAAGGCACAGTGAATCTCCCGTGTGTGTGTACTTATTCATTCAGTAGTGTCCAACTCTTTGTGACCCTGTGAACTGTAGCCCACCAGGCTCCTCTGTCCATGGCAATTCTCCAGCCAAGAATGCTGGAGTGGGTTGCCATGCCCTCCTCCTGGGGATCTTCCAAACCCAGGGATCGAACCCAGATCTCCCACATTGCAGGTGGATTCTTTACCATTTGAGCCAGCAGCAAAGCCCAAGAATATTGGAGTGGATAGTCTATCCCTTCTCCAGGGGACCTTCCCAACCCAGGAATCGAATCAAGGTCTCCTGCATTGTAGGCAGATTCCTTACCAGCTGAACTACAGGGGAGCCCAAATCTCCCATAGTCTGGCATTACTGATTAGGAAATAAAGACTTTCTGAGGCAGGGAAAGAAGAGCCTCAGCCGCTCAACTGGCCTTCTCAAGGTACTTGCCAGATTTTGAGACTCCCTGGAACAGGAGCCTGGAGAGCTAGCTCAATCTACTTCAGTATTTCAGAGCTAAGGACACCAATACCTGCCCAGCTTTCAATTAAAATTGTAAGGAACACGCCTGAGGAATATGGGTGAATTGGGCTGAAACAGCAACCCAACCTTGATATAGCCTAATCCTTGACAGGACGGACTGCTCAATCCCTCATCTTATCTGCCTAATGGGAAAAAGGGAGAATCCTTTCTGGTGGAAGGGAACATGATATGGAGCCTTTGTAGTTATTCACAGTTTCTGGAAAACAACAATAAAGCATGGGACTTGTAAAGAGAGAAGAAATATGACCAAAATGAAAAGAAAAGAAAAAAAAAGAGATAATAGAAAAAGACTCATGGATGACCCAGATACCAGTTAGTATGCATGCGTGATGCTCAGCTGCTAAGTCACGTCTGACTCTTAGCAACCCCATGGACTGTAGCCTGCCATGATTTCAAAAAGGGTTCCAAGCCCACACAGTGAGAAAAAGAGTCTTTTCAACAAATGATATTGAGAAAACTGGTTATCTGCATTTGTAATAATGAAGTTAGACCCTTACCTTACACCATGGACAAAATTTAACTCAAAATGGATAACAGATCAAAACATAAGGGCTCTAAGTATTAAGCTGCTAGAAGAAAACACAGTGGAAATGCTTTTTAACAGTGCATTTGGTAATAATGTTTCCTTGGATATGACATCACAAGTATGGATATGCTATCAAAAGTATGGGCAAGAAAAAAAGATAAACAGGACTACACCAAAATCTTGAAACTTCTGTGCATCAAAGGACACTGTAGAAAAACAATCTGTTTCTGCTTTTGTGGAACTTTTGGTTTAGCATGGCAGCCAGCCTTTAGATCAGTGTAACACAAGCTGTGAGAAAGATATTACAGAACTGAATTATAGAGGATATAAAATTGCAAAAATCCCTAGGGCATGCCCACAGGGAAGTGCAGCCAGGAATAAACTGGACACATTTTCTTTTTCATCTTTCTGTTATAGCCCGCAGGGCCTGGCCCTGAGCAGGTCAAGAAATGATCCTTACCTCTTTTGTAGTTGAACTTTCAAATTCCACTTCTCCTAAAATATGGAGCATTAGCACTTTCACTGTAGGAGTGTAAAATCTTAATGAGGTGGTGGTGATGGTGATGATTAATTTCAATTTACTCTAGTGTTATTTCTTTTCTGAGCATTTCAAGATATTCCCTATAACCAGGGATATCCTGACATGTTACAGAACCAGTCTGATGACTACTGATTTAAAAGCTTGAACACTGGTGACAGCTAAATACTAATTAAACTCAAAGCCAACCACAGAAAACTGGGCAAACTTAAAAATGACTTTCCAGATAATACCAGACCTGATTTAAAAAGAGAAGAAACTTCTTAAACTTGCCTTGTTTAACTTACGACTTCTTGTTTTCATCTTAGCACAAAAGACATGCTAGTCACCTTCTGAATACTGCATCATCAAACATTTCCCTGTCATCCTACTCTCAGGCTGGATGAATCTAGACTCTTTCACTTTTCTTTAGACCCTGTGGAATTTGATTACCTGCCTGATCTCTGGAACTGGTACTGGCCCTACCAGAGCCTTAATCTAGGGATCTAAAATGGAGTGAGACCAGAAACCAGCAAGCCACATCAGGCCACTTACAAACAAGGATATAGTCAGTTAATTGATGGCTAATTGCTTTAAAGTTCATGTGATGAGGGCTCTCCTAGCTATGAAAGTCAAGGATTTTAGCAGTTTTGGAGGAATCCCATTAAGCCTTTTGTTATCAACTGCTATGTGTCCAAGTACGCCTCTGAGAGGCCCAAGAATCACCTGGAATATGGGGGTTGGGAGAAGATGGCTATTAATTAGAAGAAAAAAATAGACTATCTGGTTTTCAAATCCAAAAATTGACACAAAGAGCATCATTTGGGTGCCTCTAACGCAAGATCTTGACACTTCCTTTTCCAGGGTTTCAAGACCATTTAATGAAATAACTTCATTTCAATTAGGCTAAAATTTCGTGCATTGCTTTGGTTCAAATTAACTCAGGGAATTTAAAAAACAAAACTGATCTGGTTTCCTGCTGAGTAAAACATTTTGAATCTAGTTGTGTAGGGAGGAGTGGCGAAGGACTAGTTTGAGGGTTATTTGATTCCAGACACTGCTTCCAGGCACTGCGGCAGAATCACAGAGATGGGAACGCCCGGAGTTTAGTTACACTCCCACAGTCGATGGAAATTTTCTGCTGTTTAAGAGGTAGGCAAGAGCATCTGCCAATCAGAAAACGTTCAGAGATTTGTCCAAGGTCCTAGAGAGTGAGTGATCCACCTGAGATAGCATATATCCCAGGGTACTCGCAACTGTTTGATTCCTTTTTAAATTCTGAGTTTGAAAACTCAGACCTACCATTACTTGCTCTGTGATCGGGTTAATCACTACACAAGTCTCGGTTTCTTATCTGTAAACTGGGTCGAATAAGCCACATGATGCTGCTTTGAGAAATACAAATTTAAGAGACTCTGAGTTCACTGTTAGCTTCGTATGGAGTTTTCTTTTCCAATCTAAAAGGAGAGCTGCTTCCTCGCGCAGTGTCAGCGTCTTGAAGTGCCCCACCCCCGCTCCATACCCATCTCCCACCCCACCCACCCCTTCCTTGAATTCGTGTGTCTGAACACAGTTCTAGTCCAGACTCTACCGCGTTGTGACACGAGGTCAGGCAATTCCTATTCTCAGGGTCTCGGTCGCTGCCCGGGACAAGGGTACGGCCGACCCCGACCTTATCAACATGGCTGCTGGAAGTGGCTTGCAGGAAGAAGAAAGGTGCGGCACTGAAGATCACTTCCGCTTCCGTTGGTGCAAAAGCTTTCACTTCTCGTGCTACCGTGACTAAGATGGAAGCACTGCTGGAGTCGCGGTCCGGACTTTGGGCCGGGGGTCCGGCCCCCGGGCAGTTTTACCGCATTCCGCCCACTCCCGCTTCCTCTGTGGACCCGGCGTCCGCGCTCTACGGGGGTCCGATTACGCGCACCCAGTAAGCTCTCGGCGCCTTAGCCTGCGCACGGGGGAGGGACGGTGGGGCCTGGTGCTGCCGGCCGGTTCTGGGAGCCGGGGAGGTCGAGGAGAGGACCCCGGGGCGCGCTACCTGGGGGGAACTCGGGGAGAAGGGTCTCGGAGAATGAAAGGAGCCGTGGAAAGTCAGAAACGGAACCCAAGGCTCGGGAAGCGGGTTCGTGCTTTCCGCCGCGCCGCCCCTCGCCAGACCTCCCTCTCTCTCTAGCAACCCCATGGTGACCGGGACCTCTGTCCTGGGTCTCAAGTTTGAGGGCGGAGTGGTGATCGCCGCAGACATGCTGGGCTCCTACGGCTCCTTGGCTCGTTTCCGCAACATCTCTCGCATTATGCGAGTCAACAACAGCACCATGCTGGGTGCTTCCGGAGACTATGCTGATTTCCAGTATTTGAAGCAAGTTCTCGGGCAAATGGTGTAAGTCATCTAGAGAATAGTAGTTGTCAAGTGGGGAGGGAACCCACTGTTTTTTAATCCCTTTAGACGTTTCTGCGGTAGAGGACAGGGATACTTGCTGGGGCTGCAAGATGTGAGAACTTCGGCAAATAGTTTACTTCAGTGGGTTTAAAGAGGGAAAATTGTGATAACGTCTTTTGCGGGTGGATGGAAATCCTGACTTCTGTTCTCACAACCTATTCTTCTAAGGATTGATGAGGAGCTGTTGGGAGACGGACACAGCTATAGTCCTAAAGCTATTCATTCATGGCTGACCAGGGCCATGTATAGTCGACGCTCCAAGATGAACCCCCTGTGGAACACCATGGTCATTGGAGGTTATGCTGATGGAGAGAGGTTAATTTTAAAACAAACAATTTCCTTGAGCACCCAACCTCTAGTGCCTTTGTAGTATCTGTCTCTTCCCCCCGAGTGAATCCCATTTCTGCCTCAGACCCTGTAGTCCCATTCTTCAGCTAAGATACAGAAACCTAAGATGACCTATTGTGTCTTTTTAGCTTCCTGGGTTATGTGGACATGCTCGGTGTAGCCTATGAAGCCCCTTCGCTGGCCACTGGTTACGGTGCATACCTGGCTCAGGTAAGTAAGTTGAGGAGTAGAAGAGAGAAGGTAAGGGGATTAGTGGCTGTCTGCTTGTTTTACCCTTTAAATTCTGACATGAGAAACAGACTATGTTCCCTGCTGCTGGGATTATTTTTGGTCCAGAGGCTGTAATGACAAGGTGGGGTATGTCCTGGAGTGAGTCAGTATATGTATGCAAAGTGAGGACACCCATGAATTTCCCCTTCAAGTGGGTCTTAGCACAAGTAAGCAGAATTCATTCTGTTGAGGCAGTAGGTGGAATGTCAGCTTTTCACTCATTTATGACTCTTTTTACATCATGGATTTCAACAGATCATCAGGTATTCAGCCCATGGTATCCCCTGTTTTTTCCCCCGATCTACCTAGCCTCTGCTGCGAGAAGTTCTGGAGAAGCAGCCAGTGCTGAGCCAGACGGAGGCCCGAGAACTAGTGGAACGCTGCATGCGAGTGCTATACTATCGAGATGCCCGTTCTTATAACCGGGTGAGAAGTATGAATAGTAAATGGGGATCTAATTGGCAGGCTGTGCAATTCCTGAGTCTCTATACTTTGAAGAACAGGCCGTTTCTGTGTCTATTTTTCACATTTCAGAAAAGCCCTCCATGTGACCTTTGACCAGGCCCGAGACTTCTTTGATGACAGGATTGGTATTTTCATTGAGAGCTCTGCTTTTTTTTTCAGTTTCAAATCGCTACTGTAACTGAAAAAGGTGTTGAAATAGAGGGACCCTTGTCTGCGGAGACCAACTGGGATATTGCCCACATGATCAGGTGAATGAAATTAAAATTACAGTGGAATAATAGTTGGGAGATCCCTGGTTGTAGTAAGGTTGGTTTTTCTGGAGGTCTCAACCAAACATTCTCTGGGTGGCAAGGGTTTGGGTTGAAGATAGAGCTACTTTTGGGAATTGACTTCTCACTATGGCTTCACGATTTTATCTTTTTTTTAGTGGCTTTGAATGAAATACAGATGCATTATCCAGAACTGAAGTTGTACCCTTCTTATAACTTTGAACTTGGCTGGTTCAAAGGTATTATTCTTTTGTAAAATAAATAAATCCTTTGAAGTGCTGGCTCAGTGGTTGTATTGTTTGACTAAGTCACACCAAGAATGAAACTGCTCAGTACTGCTATATGCCGTCTCCCTTTGTGGTCAGAGAACTCTGGTTCTTGTAGCACATATAGACTGTTCTGCATAATACAGAAGATCCACTACTGTCTTCATTTGGGTCTGTACTGAAGGCTGCTTTCTGTATAAGCCAGACTTGATCTTTGTGTGATAATACAATTAGCTTCTGTGTTTAACACTTTTCTTCAACATTCTCACCCACGCACTAGACTCTAAAATACAGACTTTCTGGTTAATGTTGACTGCATATGCAATTTTAGTTAAAACATCATTTCAAAGATGGAAATGTAACATCTAGTAGAGCTGTAGATTACTCCCAAACCAGAAGTAATAGCCTTAGTCCTGCACCCATCCAACATCCTCACCCTTCATGGGGAAACCTAATTTTGACATATAACCTAAATGTTTATTTCCAAATCTACTACTGATTTCTAGCACTGTAAGAAGACCTCTTAAAAGTATTGTATGTTCACTAAGAAGTCCTATAGTTGTGAGTCAGATCAGTTGGGAATTATTAGCCAGTTCTTTTGCCAGGATGGTGTTAAAAAAAACCTGAATTTTAAAAAACACCCTGGGTAATACTGATAGTATATCTTTTCTAAACCTCTTTTTGAGAAACTAGTCTAGGCAGGAAACCCCAAAACTATTACAGGCATACCTTGTTTTTTATGCTTTGCAGATACTGCAGTGTGTTTTACAAATTGAAGGTCTCTGGCTACTCTGCTCTTAAGTTTTGGTGTCATTTTTCCAACAGCATTTGCTTACTTTGTATTATATTTGGTGATTCTTGCAGTATTTCAAACTCTGATTATTTGTTATGGTGATCAGTGATCTTTAATGTTACTACTGCAAGAAAGATACAACCTGCTGAAGACTCACCTGGGGATAAGCATTATTTGGCAGTATTTTTTAAGGTATCTAATTTTTTTCAGACATAGTGCTATTGCATATTTAATATACTATAGTATAAACATAACATATGCACAGGAAAACACAAAAAATTTGTGACTCACTTTGTTGTGATAGTTGCTTTATTGTGGTGGTCTGGATCCCAACCTGCAGTATCTCCAAGGTATGCCTGAAATTCAGTGAGGTGAGAGCCGAGGGAGAAATCAAAACCCTTTCACTTGTGTCACCCATGATTACAGCTAGCGAAATTTAAGCAAAAGAAAACCATCAGCTTTCAATCTGAATTTCACACACTCAGTCTCAACACAAAGTAGTCAATAAATACTTGTTTATTGATTAAACTGAATTATAAAAAACAAAACAAAAAAAACTTCCTTCTACTACTAAGCCATGCAGGCAGAATCCACAAAAGTAATAACTTCCTGGCCAAAACCCAGCCGATCCACTGTTGGTACTATGGCCTTAGAAAAATCACCCATCAGGAAAGTCATACAGTGTGCAGAGGCCAGGAACCCAGCTCTGCTAAGTCTGGGGCTGCTTCGGAGACTACCAAAGAGAAAGGTTAGTCACTGTACATAAGAGTTGACCATAGTTCTTGAACTTTCTGAAAGGCAAAGTTTTGACTCAAAAGTCCATATTCTGTCAAAATGGCATCAGGCAAAAAGCTGGGGAAGAGAAGCCCAGGTGGTTCCTCCATTCAGTTTTCATATGCCATGGGTTCACAAAGCTGGCCAAGCTGTTTACGGAAGGGAACACTCCAGTTCACTATATTATAGTGTGCTGGGAGTTAAAAAACACAAAAAAACAGATGAGGAGAAACAGGTGGTATACCACCAGGCCCATCACATTTTGAGCACCTCCCAGTCTGTGAAAGCCTGTTCAAATAGGGTCACCTAGGAAAAAAACCACATTGCTTATAAATCCATTTCCCCTCATTTTATTAAATGTTCCACTTATGTACATTTTAAAGATGAACCATTTACAAGCCTACACGGGTTGCCTCCTTGGCTCACAGAAGGGAAACGTTGCAGAAAGCCTCAGGATGGACAGAAGGATAGTATAGCTGTGGGAAAGGTAGACCTGGATTTTTTTTGCTCCTTTTTTCTGTTACAGTACGTTTCAGTCTATAGCCATGAGTACATACGATTAAAAAAAATTCCCTCATGCAAATTGTAGAAAAAATTTTCTTTCCTTGAAGCTGGCAGTGAAAAATAAAGATTCATGTCTTTTTCTTTGTGCACACCCTTATGTGTTTCTTCTTCAGGTCAGATTCTTCTCTAAGCATTAAGAGTAATAGGGGAAAGCCACAGGGTAAGCAGGATTTCAACAAGTGGTCTTTTTAAAGTTCAATACAACTTCTTGCAGTTAGCTGCTGGCTGGAGGACATGTGATCCCTTGAACAAATATGCTGTCCACTTAATAGGAAGTTCGACAAAGCAGGGACTGCCCCGTGGATTGCAGGATGAAGACCCATACACTGGAAATGGCTTCCACCCTAAGGTTCTGTGTGATCACCTCAGTACCTCTTGTTTGCTAATGACCCATGTATGATCCTTTGTCCAGAGGGATGGTGTAAGAATGGGGAAGGGGGCCAAGGATCACGAGTGCAAAGAATATTGGTTTTGCTGTGTTTTTGTTGGAGGGAGGGTGGTGAGGAAAAAGAAATCTACTCGTCATTCTGGATGATTAAAGGTGGTTTCATGCATTTTTAAAGCCACAATTTTATATCTAGAGTTGCTGTGGAAACCAACATCTCTGGAGAGGGAAGGAAAGAAAGGAGAAGGAAGAGAGAGTTCAGTGGGATTCTTTTTCCATTTTCATTTTTATATAAAAGTGTTAAGACCACAATGAAAAAACTCTTTTATCCATATATATATATAATAAACCAGTTTGTGAACTACAATGTTTGTCTTTCCCATCTTCAGAAATGTTCTCACATTGACAATGGTTGGATAGCATCATGCCCAAAGACATTGGCCACACAGTAAAACAAACAAAACCCAGATGTACTATGATACAGTTGAGGTAAAAGGGGAAACAAAAAATTTAACATTCGCCCACAAAGGATTTTTTTTTCTTTTTCTTGATTTTTGTCAGAAAAATACCAAACACAGTGATTTAAATTTAAAAAAAAGTCACAAAAACCTGTTTTTAGCAGAAGTGAATGACCAACAGGCCAGCTCATCGGCTCAGACGTGATCGCTATAGGTTTTCCTAATAATCCACAAATCCACAGGGATGTATAATAAGTCAACATCAGGGGGGAGTGGTGGCATAAAATTAAAAAATATAAACCAAATACCCCCACTTGGTATACCCCTTTATCTACCCTCCCTCACGCTTTCCCACCCCTACTCCACACCCCTTTATGATGCCAACACTCAAATCTCCATCAGATCTAGGTCAGCTTCTTCAAAGCCATAGAAAGACTCGGTCTCGCTTTCACCCTCAAAGAGCTGGTGAAGGCTTTCAGGCTCAATTGTCTCTTCAGGAGATGACCTGGGTCGAGGAGTGGAAGCTGAGGGTTCCTCGGACTGTTCCCCGCTCAGCTTTAGCTGCTCCTCTAGGGAGGCAATTAGCTCCTCCTGCATGTCAGCGTTTCGTGTGGGTGAGTTCATGTTGCCATCAGGGCCAGGTAGAACACTAGCCACCAGGAAGGACCGCTGAACTAGCTCTGGACAGTCCCCAATAACACCAAGCACCTCAGCCAGCCAGTCCAGAACTAGCTGAAGCAGGACATCAGAATCACACGCAGTATCTGCCATTTCCCGAGCCTGCTCCTTCCACTTTTTGTGCAGGAAGTTCTTGACAGTCCGCTTGATGCAAACATCTAATGGCTGGATTTTGGAGCTGCAGCCTGCGGGGACAACCGCAGGCAAAGTGCTAGAGGCGCTAAGCATGGCCAGCACCTCTTCTGATAAGTGAGTGCGGTGACAGTCCATCACCAGCATGCCTTTGCTGCGCTGGCAAGCTGTGTGTTTTTGCCACACGCGGGTTGACCACAGCTCCATGATCTCATCGTCACTGTAGCCAGTCTCCTTCGCCTCTAGCAAGATAGAGTCTGGCACGTTAGCAGGCTGATCCATCTGTCCTCGGTAGAAAACCAGGGTAGGGAGAACAGTGCCATCTGCCAGAATGGCCAGTACCACGTCACACCAAGGCTCCCCTGTGCCCACTGTCTGCAGGGCATTTTCCTTTCGGTCTTCACTGCTCAGTACCTCCGTATCAAGGAACAAGGAGATCTCATCAATAGCCACAATCATAGACAAGGACAAGTCCTGGTTGTGAATCTGTCGTTGTACAAATTCAATGAAGAGTCCTGCATTCTCCGCCACGTCCTTAGGTAGAGTGTGGGCCACAGCTCGCCGTGCGTGGGGAGTCAGGTGGTGACGCAGCATGAAACGCACAGCCCACTCGTATGAGATCTTAAATCCCCCCTCCAAGGAGCGTCCTATTTTGGTGGCTTTCTGGAACAAGGTCTCCTCATTTACAGGTAGCTGTTGCTCCCGCTGGGTCAGCACCCACTCGGCCAGCTTCTCTTCCGCCTCTAAGCTCAGATACTTGCCCTCCAGACTCTCCGCCTGAGAGGCCTGGAATCGCCGGAGCCAACGCCGGATGCGTCGCTGGGGGTTTCGGAAGTGTTCAGCTGCCTGCTCCGTGTCGCAGCATAGGGCAAACAGGACCACTCGAAGCTTCTTCACAGAAAGCTGCTCCTTCTTGCCAACCCCACTGCTACTACCACCCCCTGATGCTGGCTCAGGCTCCTGGGTGACTGGGCTCCCTTCATCCTGGTCATCAACATTCAGACATTCGGCCTCCTCCGCAGCCAAGGGTGGAAGGGCCAAAGTCTGGAGATGCGTGGGGGTTGGCGGTGGCGTTGCAGTTGAGGCCGGTGACGGGAGTGCCTGGGCCGCGGGGGCCGGCAGCTCGTCAGGCTCAGCTGCGGTGACTCCAGCAGACTTCACAGTGGCAGCTTTATTAGAGGAGAAGGAAGGAGGAGGGTACAAGTTTTTCAAGTTCCGGTCGTGAGCTCGGTCACGAGTCTGGCCATGCCTAAACGGTTAGCAAAGAGAAAGAAAAAGCTCAGTTAAATTAGGAAAACAAAATAATAATATTAGTAGTAGTAATAAAGAACAAACATACTATAAAACATAAATTAAACCATCAAATGAGTTTCTGTTACCTTGAGTGAGATATCCAAGTGAGTCCTACGGGAAATAACACAATAAAAAAATGTCAGCTTGGTGAAGAAACAAACCCTCCTGAGACAGTTCTTGAGATTTTAACCAAAAAATGTACTACTTTCCCAGTCTTATATAAATCTCAGGTTAGAGTGCTTCCAACTTGGTGAAGTATGTCTCAACAGTGAATGAGTTAGGCCAGGAGGAGATGCACCTGACTCACTATGACCTGTATCCTTAGTCCCACCTCCAACTCCCATCTCTCTTACTCACCCCGTGGCAGGATGCTACTGGATCTATGAGAAGGGTTGAATACCAAATGCTTAGCCATGGCATCTCCCACAGAGGTAACAAAGGTACATGAAGTGCAGGCCAGCTTGCTTCCACTGAGAAAGAGAGTCAAGAGTATGTCAGACAAATGCAGCAATAACTCTACTGAGAGTTAAGCTTCAAGGCTTAATAAAGAAAAAGAGTGTTCCTCCTTTCTCCTCTCAAATTAATGCATATGTCTATCCCCCAAAGTAATATAAGGGATTTAATGTATTAAATTAACAGACCATCAGTAAGTTTGTCATTACCTCACAGAATTTTTAAACAAAGCCAAATACTTGGGGCTCTTCCGTGGAACATGATTGCTGAGAAAGACAAAGAGAAAGTTGTATGAGTTACATGGTTCTGCTCGCTAAACTAGAAATCACCAGCCATTGACAAGGCCTGAACAAAAGAAATGCCTCTTCAATCAATCCTAACCTGAACCCAAGCCTATCACTTTAATATTTCCTATTAATATGCAAACAGATCCTAGAGGTGGGAGGAAATCTATTAAAAGGCATATTCTGGTTGGGGGTGGAGGGATGGTGACCAGGGTCAGAGGCCATATTTCTAAGAAGCGCCCTGGCCATTGGACCTCATTTTGAGTAGCAAGGTTGTACAAAACCAGATTACAGACCAATGAAAGCCAAATAAAGCTGGGTCTGGCCTCTGACTTTGCTAGCAAAGGTGCACAAACAGCTCTAAAAGCTGAAGGGGGAATCACCAGAAGCAGGGGAGGGGATGAAATGAGTTCTGAAGACTCTGAAATCCCAGAGAGAAACACCGTTTAATCCTGACTCACTTGATCATGTGGTTGGCATAAGCTCGAGAACAGCAGGTGCTATAGCGACACAGAGAGCAGTGAACGTAAGTGGGGAAATGATTGGGGAAGTCTGGGATCTCAAAGCTGCACTCCAGACACGTCTGCCGGCCCATGACACTCCTGGAGAGAAACAAAGAAAATCTTATTACTGCCTCGGGGGTCCACAAACTGTAGAGATTCAGGCAACAGACTCGGCTTAAAAGGCTACCAGATGACACTGGCTCTCGGGAACAGCTGTGCCCACCCGGCCCCCAGCCTCCAGCAGAAGGCACTGACATTTTCCTAACAGCTCTCTTCTGGACGTTGCGCTGGACGGGGGGGTAAAGGAAGACGGGCAGAGGGTCTGCTGAGGAGGCCAGTGGCGCTGCTTCCTGCAAGCTGCCAGGAGGTCCATCACTGGAGGGTACAGGAGCAGTTCGTGGCTGCCCCCGGGAAGCCCGGATTGTCACCTGGGAGTCAAGGGAAGGAATAATTAGACACTACCTACGAAAGAACCTCAGAACACTGAAAAGCTCTATTCCTCCCCTTCTTGGATCCGTGAAGGGAATGTCGACAAACCCTTTACCTTGGTGCCTGGCTTCAAGCCTTCCAGTTGCTTGGGTTTACGGAAGGTTTTATGGTGCTGCAGCTTGTGTTCAATTTTGTCCTTGGCAAAGAGAAACTGCAGCCGGCATTTGTTGCAGTGATAAACATTCCTCTTCTGAAGGGGAAAAAAAGAGACAGAATCCTTTAAAGGTTCCCAATGAATTTTCTTCCTGAGGAGAAGGTAGGTCATTGCCAATCATAGCATTCTTTCCATCTTTCTGTTGATAATTTAACAATTAAAAAGAAATAGACAATGTAAGACTAAACCTAGTTTTTCAATCTTTATCTATAACTTTATATATTTTGCAATACAATTACAAGCCTTATTTGGTGGTGAGAATCATCATGGCCAGTGCTCCCAGAGAAAGATGGGCTGAAAGCCAGGTTAACTAGGTCCTCAGAGCATCACCCACTGACCTGCTTTAACAGCTTGGCTGAGTGGCTTAAGCTTTACTTGCCCACTACTTTTTTTTTAGTTTAGTTATCGTTTTTATTTCAATTACAGTCAATGTTCATTTCATCCTTGATAAACTATAAGCTTGAGATTGTCTTATTTTATCTTTACAGTGTGGATGGACATTGCTACCACTGGATATTCTTATTTTTTAAAAATACAATAAAATGTACATGGTGAAAAAAAAAAAAATCATACTTTTATTTTGTACTCCTTCATGTGGTAAGTTTACCTTCAACTCCACTCCTCAGTCCCCTTCCACAGAAACAACTTGTTACCAGCTTCCTGGGTATTCTTTCACAGATAGTCTGTGCATATAACCATACAGCAAACTCAAATGTCTCCATTCACCACCCCTGTTTTCCTTTCTCTTTTTAAACAAAAAACAATAGTACTTTCCTATACAGTGCTGTTTTTCCCTCTTAACACATCAACACATACAGATACGCCTCCCTGAAAGGCCATTTTGAGGATTCAGTCTGCCCAGTATTGAAACAAGACACACGTCTGTGATTCCTTCCTAGGATAGCAAAGGCTCTATAACCTCAGCTACAGGTGACAGTTCCTACGCTAGTACATGGAAATACATCAGTGGTGGATTACAGCAGTCTATGTGTGAACCTAAGAAGCTGCTTACAAGCGAGAAGCCAGGGCAGGTGTGCACACACGTGGATGTTACCCACCGGCGCACCCATCTTGTTCTCTATTTTGTTCCCTCTCTATGTACTCTCCTCCTCCAGTGGCTCCTTTCCTGCAGCATTTTAAAACAAACGCTTATATGTTCCATCTTCAAAACAAAACACAGCAGCAGCAACAACAAATTCTCCCTTGCTACCTCCTTCCCTCCATCTGCCACCCCTCGTCCTACACTTCATAAATTTAAGTAAGCTGTCTCCATTTCCTTACCTCTCATTCATTTGTCCCACTGAAATTTGGCTTCTACCCTGCTGACCAACAAAATGGCTAAATTAAAGGCCACCCTCTCACGTTTCCATCTTGCTGATACCTTCTTGCAACACTTGACCACACACTTTCTTTCAAAATGCTTTTGTCCCCACCTCTTCCTCGACATCACGACTCTTTGGATTTTCATTCCAGGACTATGGCCCTGGCTTTGTGGAGAGAAAACTCCATGGTCCTTCACCTTATTCTCAATTTGGGGGTCTGGGAGTGGGGGTAAAGCTTACCACTTACAAGCTTAAATCAACTGGATTTATATAATGATGATTTAAGTATCTTTCACAATTCAGGCCTTATGTATATCCAACTATCTATTTAGTACTCAATTACACTTGATGTCCATAGATATTGCCGACTCAGAATATCCATCCAAACTTAGAATCCTCCCCTCAAAAGTTACTTTCTCCAGTGTTCCTATCTCAATATAGTCTCCCCATTCATCCAATTACCCAAGACAGAATCCTGGGCACTATTCTTAACTACTCCCTCACTACCTTCACCTAATCCATCTCCAAATTACAGATAGCACTTATCTTCTCAGTATCTTGCAACTCTAATCCTCTTTGTCTTCATTTCAAAAGCCAATAGCCACTATCATCTCTCAGGTAAACTACTGAAAAAGCCTTTGGCTTGTCTCCCTAACTCTTGGAGCAGCCAGTGTAATCATAACTAAAAGCCAATGCGAACACATCACTCCAGGATTTAAAAATCTCTTCAATGGCATCCCAACATCAATTTCTTTTTTAATTAACAGAAGTCTGTATTTTATGTCAATCTGCTTAGTATTTACATACACTCTTTTTTTGGTTCTAGGTTCCCATCCAGGATACCACCTGATATTTTACTAGTCATGTCTCTAAGTTCCTCTTGGCAGTTTGCCTCAGACTTCTCCCAACAACTTCTTATAATAAAAGTCGAAGCTTCTTTTTTTAAATTATTTTATTTTTTGGTCAGTTAAAGCCACAGGTTTGTTTACTGGTTGTGCCATGGGGCATGGGGGATCTTAGTTCCCTGACCAAGAGTGGAACCCGGGCCCCCTGCATTTGGGAGTGCCGTCTTAAACACTGAAGCACCGGGAAGTTCTGCAGTCTCCTTTTTATGGCTCTAGATTCTCCACGATCTGCTCTCTAACCTCCAACCTCCCTCATACTGTACACACTCCAACCACACTGAACTGTTAATTCCTTGAGCCCCCCCGCCGAGCCTCTGAGCATGCTGTCCTTGTAGTCCACTTCACTTGGCACATCCTTACTCATCCTTCGGGTCTTAAACATCCCTTTTCTTGGAAGACTTGCAAGGTTCCCAGAGTAGGTTATGTTCTTTTTTATATTCTGTATTTCCCCTAACACAACATTGTTCCTGTTTTATTGTACTGTTTAACTGTCCTGTTTAACCACTAAATCTCCAGCATCTAGCCCAGTGCCTGGTACGTATTACTGAAATTCAATACATTTTTCAAACTCACACATATAATCTTCTCTAACAAAATTATTTGCCTCGCTCAGTCCTGGCCCCAGCAACCACAATTAAAGAGGGCAATTGCCTGGTGTCTGGTACCTGGTGCCTCATGTAATGCTGTTGGAACGCACTGCCATTCTTGAAGACCTTCAAGCAGTAAGGGCAGAGCAGGTGCCGAGTATCCTCATGGATCATCCGAAAGTGGACATCTACCTCAGAGTAGAGTGAGGAGCGGTACTGACACACCTGAATCACATAAGGAAAATAAGCTAAAAGTGAGCTGAACAACTGAGGCCTTAGAAAAGGGGTAGCAACAAAAATGTTAACATAGAAAAAAAATTTTTTCTAAATGTACAGAAATCAAGTTATTTTTCTGATTTTATAATGCAGGGTTATGTTTGTGATCATGAATTCAGCCGTGAAATATAGTAAAAATGGGAAGGACAGGAAAGTCTTTAAAGTCCAAATTCTGGCTAGGAGCAGTTTTTTTCCTATCTCCACAGGGAACATTCAGGAGACAGACACTCCCTCACTTTCTTTTAAGTATTTATTTGGCTGCACTGGGTCTAGAACTGCATGTGGGATCTAGCTCCCTGACCAGGAGTCAAACCCAGGCCCCCTGCACTGGGAGTGCAGAATCCTAGCCACTAGGCCAATAGGGAAGTCCCAGACACTCCCTTACTACTACTAATTACTACAGGTATTGTGTTCCAAGACTGGGTTCCTCAGCTGGGTACATGCATATATCCTTTATGTTTTTCTCCTGCATGAAGAACCCTGAAAACAGAACTTGGGTTCAGTATTTCTTTTGTATTTCCTCAGTGTTCCTTAAACTGAGTATGTGCAATAGGTAATGGGCAATATTCATTAGTGGATTCTTCACATTCAGCCTGAGAGCAAAAGACTAAATAAAGCTTCCCAAGGAAAAGGCAATACCTGGCAAACGTAAGGCATCTCTCCAGGCTTATGAGTATCCTTCATATGCTGGAGAAACAGTGGCTCACTCTCAAATGCCCACTCACAGATCTTGCACTTGGCTGTAAGAAGAAAAATAATCGATAAATACACCTGAAAATAAGAACAAAATCCTGCTGATTCATAATCTTTATTTTCTGACTCCTATATCTTCATTTTCAATAGTATCAGTAACTTATGAGATCTCTTCTTTTCTTTAAAATGGTTGTCAACAGTTGTGCTGGTGATAAAAAGTATCCTTCTGTCTCTAGCTCAGACGTCTTCACCAAAGCGCCACTCTAGATTTTGAACTCTCTACAAGACATTTAAACACAAACAGTCTACCATCTACTATAACTTAATTCAGCATCCTCCTGCTTCTCATCATTTCTCTTCTCAATTTCCCACCTCCTCCTGAGCTCAAAACTTAGGCATTATCCGATTCCAAACTTCTGTGTTCTGTCACCATTATTTCAAAATGCATCGAGGAACTGTCACTTCTGCATTCTCACAGGTACAAACCTGGGAGAAGCCCAGCTGCTAATCAGCTGGCTTCCAATACCTCCTATCTCCCCAATAAATAGTATCTATTCTTTATATACCATCGTCAAGTAAATGCTCTTAAAATACTGTGTTACTTCATTCCTCTGCTCAAGGAGAGACAATGATTATCTCCTATGAATAATTCAACAGTTACTGAACACGTACTAAACGAGGACAAATAACAGATATGTCCTTAAAAGACATACAACATGAACAGAATTTCTCACCTTCTTATGAGTTATTACTAACAAACTGAGATAATTAAACTTTAAAATTAGCCATTTTATCAAACTTCTATATAAGGCTGCAATTCTAAATTTTTGGCAAATATTTTAATTGCTACATATTGTGAATTATACAGGCAAAATACAGTTATTTGTATTTTTCTTAACATTACTGAAATTATTTTCAAGTTTTTGCAAACACATAAATTGTAAATTTGAAGCTTTAAGAGCTTATTTACTGTCTAACCCCTGCCCCCCACTCCCAAATGAGTGAAACTGAAATAAAATAAATGAACAAAAACCAGAGGTTTTAAATCTGGGGTCCAAGGAAGAGATCTCAGGGAACCCAGGTATCACCTGAAACTATCTGTAATGAGTGAAATGTTTATTTTTCTGGGAAGTTTTGTGTTGATTCTCAGAGGTATCTGCAACCCATTTAGAACCACTCCCCAGAGGTACACTAGGTATGAGAACAAGATAAATTAAAAAATTCTGCCTAGAATGAGGAAAAGTTGATAACATAAGCTGAACCTTGAAAGAATAGTGATTTGCCAGACAGAGAAGACAAGAGAAGAACTTGAGCAAAGGTATGGAACTGCATGACATGTTTGGGAAACTGTACCTACTGGCATGACAATCTTTTCTCCTGTTTTCTTGTCCTTTACCTCTCAATTCAATTATCTCAGCTTCTTTTTTTCTTTTCTAGAACACCTTAAAGCATCAGTGTTTCCCAGTCTTCTGTCCAAGCCTTTTCCTAGTCTGTGTTTTCCCTGGGCAACCCCACTCACCCTTAAAGGCTTTTCCTGTATCAGCTCTATTGTTACAGCTGTCTCATAATACCGACAGTAACATTTATTAAACACTTTCTAATGCATAAGCAACATCCTAAGATTTATATGTATTATCTCATACAAAGCAAATCAGTGAGAAAGGAACCAAAGCCATCAGTGGATTTAAGGGATCTCTAATAACCCTTCATAGCTGTTCTAAGGGGGAAGGAGTTGATCTGAGAAAGATTCAAAAGGGAGAATGATTGATTTCCCAAAGTGGCCATCCTAACACTGTCCCTCCCAGCACTATCACGCTCACCTCCTGAACACCTACCACAGTCTCTTGCTTTGAGAAAACAGGTGTGAAATACTGTAGATTCTGTTTCCTGCTTTCCAAATTTGGAAGGACAGATCCTTTTTGCCTTTCTAAGGTTCATCCAATCTCATCATTCCATGTATATATATATACCATGACTTAACCAAACAAGGGGTTCTCCCTTTCCAGAGTTTTTCTTCACAAAGGATGCTCCTGACACGTGAACACAAGTAAGCATCCATCCCTCAACCTTGCCTCTTCCTTAGTCTACTGCCCTTAAACAAGTTTAAACACAATAACCCATTGATGTTTTGGAGATAATTCAGGAAACTTGAAAATGAAGATAGATGATATTAAAGATTTATGATTAATTCTGTTATGTCTTGATAAAGATACTATGGCTATGTATTTTATTTCTTTCAGGCTGGAAATGAAGTTTACTGAAGTGTTAACTATATCAGCTGGACTGATCAAGTTTATACTTGTTTAAACCTGTAGTTATCACAAAGTGTGATTTCCATTAGAACCCGTGGCTTGAACACAGACCTAGCTGCTCAGGGCATGGAACCCCAGGAAGACCACTGGACTGTCACACTTGGCCTCGCTTTGTGGCAGAAGTCCCGCTCTCCCTGGGTGTCTCCCGTGGCACCTGCTCCGTGGCTTGTGCACGAGTGATTTTACACACTCAGAGCCGCCTAAGTGTGTCAGAGTAGGGTAGTTATGTGTTTGCTCATGTGAATAACCAGGTGTGTCTCTTCCCATCACCCTTCAGAACCACATTCTTCAGGGACCCATCCTAAGTGTCCCCTAAGACTCCTGATTGCGGTCCATGCAGAGTCACGAGATCTGCAGTGGGTGTTAACTCTTCAGTAACCGTCAGCTCTCTGACCTCTTGGCCCCATGTTAAGAGGTGCAGATGGAAAAAAGGCCATCTTTTCTGATGAGGACAGGAATGCCTATGTATTTTAAATGTCCTTACTTTTCAGAGATATATAATGAAGTATTTAGGAGTGAAACATCATTACATCTATAATTTAGTTAAAAGACACTTCAGAAAATAAAAGAAAAAAAATTTTCAAAACTAAAAAGAAAACAATGGACCTCAAGATATTAACACGAAAAAATAAGCTACTTTCATGAAGAATCTGCCACAGATGCAAAAAAAAAAAAGGTAGTTATAAAAGAATTCAAGAGTAAAATTGATACATATGAAAGCACAGAAAAGGCATTTACACATTTACCTGTTTGGATCAACAATGTTTCAGGTTTTTCACCATAAGATACTAAAAAAATTAAAAGTAAAGGATAAAACAGTGGTAAACGAAGAAGAAAAGCCTGACGAGGTTCTGCGTTGTCCACTTTGTTTTTTCCCATTACGAATAACTTATCTTGTTAAGTATTGTACAATATGTAAGTGGAATAACACACTCCACCAGATTCTGTATAAAAGCAGATGTTTTCACTGGAAGATTCAGATGAGTAATTTGGACTTCCTATCACTGACAGTGAAGAATGTGGGACCTAACTTAGATCAAGCTGCTACTCTTCTACATGTGGTGTTATGATGGTTGACCCCAATATCAACTTCACCCACAAATTGTTACTCCAAAGTCCCACTGCCTACTATGGTAACCACCAGTATACACATGGCTAGAGAACACATGAAATGGGATGAGCTCAAATTGAGACTATTTGCTCTGGTATACACACTAGATTAAAAAAAAAAAAGAATTCAAAATTTTTCGTTAATTTAAAAATTTTGATTATATGCTGAGATTATCTTGGCTATTTTGAATTAAATAAAATAAACTATTAATTTCACCTTAAAATATTTTTATTTCAAATGACTACTAAAAAAATTAGAATTACATACATAGCTCATTACATTTTCGGTTGATCAGCACTCATCTGAGACAATCATGACAATCCTACTTCCCTTGACAATATGACCACAGCCAAAGAGATAGAAAGGGAAAACAATTCTGCCTTACAAGGAACAGGCTTAGGAAAGACACAGGAAGACATGGCCTCTTTTTTATCTGCACAATCTTACATATGAACGATTCCTGAGATTAACACAGTCTTCCTGCTAGAAAGCCAGAGACAAGAAAACTGTTGAAAAGTAAAGACTTCAAGTTCTGGGCTTGAAGTTTACTCCACCTTGAGTTTTCTCAGTTAAAGGATCTAATGATAGATGTCCTTAATGTTTAATCCATTTTTAGTCAAGATTTTTAATCTGCAGCAAAAGCATCTATATTATGCATATTTTTCTGTCTCAACATGTTTGCTCACGCTGTTCCCCATCACATAAAATCTTTTCTTACTATTTTCCATCCACCTAAATCCTTGAATTTAAGACCAAGCTTATCCATTACCTATTCTCTGAAATCCAGCCACAAGGATCTTTTCTCTACTCTGAACTACCTATCATTCATATCATCCAATGTCTATATTTATAGTAAATACATAGTCTTGTTCTCAGATTTTCCTAGTTAAGCAATTTTTGTCTCTTCAACAAAACTAGAAATCCCTTATATGATAAAGGAAATATTTCTAGATTTCTAGAAGACTGGATTCAAATCCTCGCGTCACCTTATTAGAAGTGTACGCTTTTAAGTAAATGATTAAATATTTCTGGGGTTGTATTCAGCCTGTTTCTCATCTTTAAGATGTAGCTAACACTCCAACTCATCTTATATCCTACATAAAAACTACAACATTACTAACTAAAGTGGAGACCCAAATATAGATGCTTGCTCTTTCTATAAAACAATCTAGGTAACAAATCCTTAAAATATACCTCTCTACAGTGGTCCAAGGCCCCTAATAATTTGGAATCAAGCACTGAACTCAACTTAAGCTTGAACAGAATAGAAGCCAGGCTTGTAAGAAAACAGAGTAAGTAAAGTACTCATTATAAACATGCAAAAAAACCTGACACTGTTACCCACATATGAATAAAGGGCTCCCCGCTAGTGCCATTCATTGAGTGAAGAACAAAGTCTACCTCTGGAGTCCATGAACTCCCAGACTTACTGGTTGACTCATAGGGACTGTGAACGTTTTCCAGGTGGCACTGGAGCTGGAAGGGGGTAGAAAACTGACGGTAACAGTGTTGGCAGATAGTGTGACCGTCCACCTCACCATTCTGCTGATCGAGTTCTACGTGATGTTTCATATGGTTCATAAATCTGTAGCAAGCACAAAGGAAAAGTACAGACAACATAAAAAATCAGAAGCCTTGGAGAAATATAACAGCGGAATCACAGAACAGACTTTACATATGTCCCCCCACCCCCCGCCTTCCCACCCAACTTCCTCTTTTTTGGAAGAGTCCTTTTCTCAGCCCAGAAACTAAGAGAGTTCCTGAAGCTTTTCTGAGAAAGGAGATGCACTGGTCTCACTCTACCCAAAGTTATCTTTTATTTATTAGCACAGTATCTCCTGGAGTATTAGTTATTGATTTGATAACCCTGAGCAAGAGAGGATATAATTAGGGCCATTCTCCAAACAGAAAAACTTAAAACATATAAGAAGCTTTCAGCCTTCACTTGTCCAAGGTAAGTTCCAAGGCTCTTCAACACTCACCGAATGTTGTTTTTTAGCCTTTTGGTACAATGTGGGCATCGGAAAGATGTGGCGACCTTAGGGAAGTTTGTGAGCTGGGCTACTGTGCCACCATCCCGTCCATAGTAGAAGTCATCTACTAGCATAATGAGCTTGGTCTGGACGGTATCACCCACATTCTCATTTGGCTCTGGTACTTTGGTAGGTGGTGACAGAGCAGGAATAGGTGTAGAAGAGGGAGTGGAAGCAACAGGAGCTGTTTTCTCAGGGGATGGGGGCTTTGCTGCTGATGGGACACTGGGTTCTGAATCCAGAGACTTTCCTTTCTTCTGGTATTCAACCATTTCTGGGCAACAGTACTATAAAGAAAGAAGACATCTGATCATCCCGGTTCTCCTGGGGGCTGGGATGCATGTACTCCTCAGGTCCACTAACATTCCTTGGTAACAGTTTGGTTTTAGGTATCTTACCTAGTTTCTACCCTGCAGTTTTCTACAATGTCCAGGTTTCACTCTCTTTCATGTGTCTGTGTGTGTGTACTTATAGATATATGCCACTCCAAACACCATACTTTGTATTTCTTCCTGTTTTAGATCCTTGAACCACTTGCTAGTATAAGCTAGTTCTGGGGTCCCTGGTAGGAAGAAGTCCCAACCTTTGCATCTGGACAAATACCAAAAAATGAAAGGCTTGAGTAGGAAATTGCTTAATAGCTCCTGATTCATCCAATGACACAATAAAAACAAAATGAACTGAGGCCAAAAAGTTCTGATTATCTAACAAACCTGTCCTGTGCAGTTCAAAATCTACCAACTAAGGAATTAAGGTCACAGATGTTCTGATCTTATCTGAGGGACTTTAAATGTTTCCCATTACATTTTTGAGTTCATTCTAAAACAGGCCAAGAGCATAGCCCTTTAAAAAGCTTCCAAGTCGTTTCAGAGTCCTTGCCTTACACTCCCCCAAGACTACAGGAAGTAGACAGGGAGTGGTGGCCATTTACGCTGGATCCCTACCACAGGTGATATCACTTACACACATGTGACCTCTCAAAGCTTCAGTAACACGGAAGTGAGCATTACACTGTGGACATATCTTCCGTCCACCATCCTGGAGGTCAAACACTGGGATGGGTGAGGTCACTGGAAGAAGTGAGAACACGGTAAGATTAGTAAGATAATGCTAGAAAAAGACAACCGGCCTCTTGGAAAAACAGGTTATTAAACACTTCATGAAGGGTATAACTAAGGTTGGTAAGCAAGCATGAGAAATCACTACGAGGCACATTCCTTTTACCATTCTTCTAACTTTAGGCCAGGGGTTAGCAAATCACAACTCGTAGACCAAATCCAGCCAGCTGCCAGTTTCTGTTTGGCTAATGAACTAAAAATGGCTTTTATTGGGTCGGCTAAAAAGTTCGTATAAGTTTTTCCATAAGTTGTTGGGGAAAACCGAACAAACTTCTAGGCCAACCCAATATATTTTCTGCAATTGTTCTGGTTATAAATCATGGTAAAATATACTTCACATAAAATTTCCTCTTTACCATTTTAAAATGTTTGGTTCAGTGGTTAAGAACATTCACATTTTCATGCAATGTCCAACACTCTTTTCACCCCTCAAAACTAAAACTCTATACCTATTATAATTCCCCATTGTCCATTCCTCCTACAACTCTAGCAACCACCACTCTACTTTCTGTCTCTGTGAGTTTGACTACTCCACATACCTCATGTAACTGGACTCACACAGTATTTGTCCTCTTGTGGCTGGCTTATTTTACTTAGCATAATGTCCTGAAGGTTCATCCATATTATAGCATGTATCAGAATTTCTTTCCTTTTTAAGGCTGAACAATATACCACTTAAGTATTGATGCTTTTGAACTGTGATGCTGGAGAAGACTCTTGAGAGTCCCTTGGACTGCAAGGAGATCCAACCAGTCCATCCTAAAGGAAATCAGTCCTGAATATTCACTGGAAGGACTGATGCTGAAGCTAAAGCTCCAATACTTTGGCCACCTGATGCAAAGAACTGACTCACTGGAAAAGACCCTGATGCTGGGAAAGACTGAAGGAGGGAGAAAGGGACGACAGAGGATGAGATGGTTGGATGGCATCACCAACTCGATGGACAGGAGTCTGAGCAAACTTCAGGAGTCAGTGATGGATGGGGAAGCCTGGTGTGCTACAGTTCATGGGGTCACAAAGAGTCAGACACAAATGAGCGACTGAACTGAATATACCACTGTATATATATACACCCTATTTTGTTTATCCTTTCATCAGTTGATGAACATCTTAGATGCTTCCATCTACAGGCTTTTGTGAATAACGTTGCTGTGAACACGGGGTACAAGTATCTGTTTGGGTCCCTGCTTTCAATTCTTCTGGGTATACATACCCCAAAATGGAATTACTGAAACATGTGGTAATTTTATTTCTCATTTTTTGAGGGACCATCATCCCATTTTACATCCCCACCAGCAATGCACAGGGGTTCCACTTTCTCTACATCCTTCACCAACACTTCTTTTTCTTTTTCTGGATAAAAGCTATATTAATCGGTGTGAAGCAGTATTTTCTGTATTTGTGATCTTGCATTTTCATCATTAGTGATGTTTAGCATCTTTTTGGTGCTTAATGGCCATTTGTATATCTTCCTTGAGAATTCTCTATTCAGCTCCTTCGCTCATTTTTTAATTGGGTTGTTCTTTTATTGTTGGTTGAGCTGTAGAAATAGTTTATATATTCTGGAAATTAAGTCCTTATAAGATATATGATTTACAAATATCTTCTCCCATGAAAAGTGAGTTGCTTTCCCACTCTCCCTAACCCTAACCCTCTGATGCTCTGAAATTTTAAATTCTGAAGTAGTCTCACTTATCTCAGAGAAGGCAATGGCAGCCCACTCCAGGACTCTTGCCTGGAAAATCCCATGGACAGAAGAGCCTGGTGGGCTGCTGTCTATGGGCTGGCACAGGGTTGGACACGACTGAGCGACTTCACTTTCAGTTTTCACTTTCATGCATTGAGAAGAAAACGGCAACCCACTCTAGTGTCCTTGCCTGGAGAATCCCAGGGTCAGCGAAGCCTGGTGGGCTGCCGTCTATGGGGTCGCACAGAGTCGGACATGACTGAAGCGACTTAGCAACAGCAGCATTTATCTCCTTTTTCTTTTGCTGCCTATGCTTTTGGTGTCATATGCAAGAAATCACTACCAAATCCAATGTCATAAAGTTCTCCCCCTATGCTTTCTTCTAAGAGTTTTATGGTTTTAGGTCTTTTATTTTGGGATATAATTCATTGAGTTAGTTTTTATATATGGTGTATGGTAATGGCCCAAGTCCCTTTTTTTGCATGTGAATATCCAGTTTTCTCAATACCATTTGTTAAAGGTTTTCATATTTTTAAAGGGTTCAAATAAAAGCAAAAGAAGAGTAAGATTTTCTGACACATGAAAATAAAACGAAATTGAAAATTCAGAGCCCATAAATAGTTTTAGTGGCACATAGTCATATGTCTATGGCTACTTTTGCACCAAAATGGCACAAAGTATTTGTGACAAAATCATACTGTGCATGAAGCCTAAAATATTAACTATCTGGTCCTTTACAGAAAAGGTTTGCCAAGTCCTATTCTAGGACTGAAATTGAAAATGGTTATGCTCATAACCCTTCTACACCTGAAAACCTCTCTACCAAATCTCAACTTTAAACTCTAGTTGAGAAATCCATCTCCTCCTCCCTGAACTATCTTTTGATTATCCCATTCATCTCCGATCACTCGATCCATTTCACTCGTTTCAAAAGCACAGTTAACAAGAAAACTCCTTTGGGCTGACTGAGTCACACTTTTCACAAGTGGCAGTGCTCTTTACTACACTGAAGTTTCTGTGATAACAAGACTATAGCAGCTATACCCTATTTTCTCTATTTCACAGTACAGACTTCTGATACAATAAATACTTTATGCTAATGTTTTTCAATGATTGGCTGCCCAGAGTCTTTCTGATTATCGTACCTTTCACTGAAGACTCGGGCCCGCTGGTTCTTTGAGAGCCATGTGCGGAGCTGTTGTTGGATACCACCACTGGCCCAGGACTCTGGCCCAGGGAAGGGATGGTGTTAAGGGTATTCACCAGTTTGGCCACTTCATTGCTATTTTCACCTGTGACACCAGGCCGCTTCACAGTGACAAAGCTGGCAATGCTCACTGCAGGTGGAGAGGGGAAGGAGGGAGCTTTGTTGGCCAAGTGATAACCATCTGTTCTCCAGCCATCACCCATCCCATATTCCATCTCCTCTTCCCAAGCCTCACCTAGTTTGGGATTCTGAGTCTGGCTGGACTGGCCTGGAGGCTGAACAGCAAGGTGCCCCAGTGAGGTCGGCTGTGTGGCAGTAGGAGTGGTGGAAGTGCTGGGAGTGGACTTGGTCGACTGGGACTGGGACTGTGGGACGGTGCTTCGAATGGTGAGAGTGGCTGGGATGACGGTGGTGAAGGTATTGGTGGTGGGCCGCACAGGCATCGTGGAGCCTGGCCTCACAGGGGTCATCTGAGAGAACACTTGTGGGACTCCAACTGTCGGCTTAACAAACTGGGTACCTGGGGCTTCAAAAGAGAGACAAAGAAAAGCACCAAATCTTGGTTAGTGAGCTCTCCTGTAACACATTCCCTCTGTGTTTACTCAAAATACTGGAAAAGGAAAAGATTATTTCCCCAAACTGATGGAAGTAGTTAGCCTCAGTAATCAGTCCTAAAAACATTACAGTGAAGGCAGATTTCCATCAACTCCTCCCCAAACATCTCAGCACGCTACCTTTTCTATTCCAGGAGTAAATCATGAATAGCCTGACCTTGGTATTGGCAGAGAATAATGGGTATAGTGTGGGAAGCAGTATGGGTATACACAGGCCAAGAGGCAAAGCTGGTTCTGAAAAATGTAATCCTTTCTCAGAATACTAAAAACAGTCTTTCATTCTCTTATACAAGCTCACATAGAAGACAGACTATGTATGCCATTCTACTAGGATGTCCCAAAGGTGAGTCTCCTGGATCAACTATAGACAATTCACTTACAAATATTTAAGAAATATCAGAACTACATAGGATAAGCTCAGACCTGAAGGCCAAAATCCCAATGAGGTCTAAGAACAATGACAAAAACTTAGGAAGACAAGCTACCTTTACCACAACTAAAATAATACAGTATTTTTTGGCCCAAAATGTAGTAAACACTGAATATAGAACCATGGGCAAAATCACAAGATTTTAAAGAATTATCTTTCAATTTAATTTCTTAAAAAAAACAAACAAACAAAAAAACCCCTAATCATTGGCAATATTCATCCTCAAAGAATATGCCACTTGTTTAATTTATACTCCAAATCTATGCTGTAAAATGCAAGCAAAATAAGTTTATAAGTCCACCATGTAAGTAAGTAGACTTATTAGGAATACAGAATTTGGGAGTTTGCATTAATAATAGTCCTTCAGGATAACAAACAATAGCTGCAAAAAACAGAGCAGAAACAGAAAAATATCTATAAAAACCCTGTTTTACTACCTCATGAAAGGTGGTAAAAAGTTAACAAGAAAAATAAAATTACCACCCTGGCCAAAGGTTAGGAAGTTTTTTAAAAATGGGGCTTAAAATCAATATGATTTTTATAGTTTCAGAAAGTATACTTTTCAAATGACCTTCAATACTTTTGACAACAAAAACAAGTCTTTTGGATGTTGGTTTATTCCAAATGGGTATACATTTTTCCTTACCTGGGACTAGTGTAATTGGTCTAACCGTTTGGCCTTGCTGTACGTTCAACACAATCCCAACCTGATTCATTGCATTTTGTACAGGCCGGACATTTCTTACAGGAAATCCCTGCATTAAAAAGCAAAATGATCTTTAACATGGAGATCAGCTAACACTAGCAGAGACTGTATTCAGACCCATGTCCAAAATATTCCCACACTCTTACCTAATGATTCTCTCTCTTGAACTAGAGCTTTTCAATGACTGAGATGGAGAAAAGTCTGGACTTCTGGCAAACTTTTGAATGACAAATACTAAAACTGGAGAATGAGGTTTGGTGCATATGAAAAAAAATGAAAACCTAGTTCTTGTCTTAAAAGAACCTCAGTTTAAAAAAACTCATCCAGAAACTGACCCCAAAGAATGGGGAAAAAAACCTGACATTAATGGGAGAGAGTCAACATAAAAACAACTGTAGGAAACTGTTCCCAAAGTCTACCTCAAAAGGCCATACACCTCTGGGAAACTTGTAAGACAAGGGAGGAAAAAGCATCGGCCTTTTAATCCCACACCAGCACTGGGTTTTCAACTGCAATTCACATTTCTTTCAAATAAGTCATCTTCCTTCTCTTTCAAAGATCTCCCTGCACTTCACCAGTTTTGCACATATACTTCTGTAAGTCAACTAACTCACCCCATTATAAGAAAAATAGCCCAAGCAAAGGGTGAGAACTTTTGAGGGCCAAATGTTAAGGCTTCCTAATGCAAGCTTCCCACTCTCTCCTGCCTAGACCTCAATCAAATTACTTAATAGCCCTCTGGAGGTATAAAGAGGAAATTACCCAGCTGTATGCTATGTTGGGCTTTCTACTAAAGTCAGCATCAAATTAAAAAAACTAGTAAATGAGAAAGCCAGATCAAAGGACAGAACCTAGAACCATTTCTAATTATGCTGGAGACTCAAGTCAGAGCCTTGAAAGGTTCCCACAGTCCCAGAATTCTACCAGGTCCCAGAATTCAGAGCCCTACTTACCTGTGTAGTGATAAATATTGGCTGTGAAGCTACCGGGGAACTAGTCACATGGTTGGCATTCTGCATGACCTGCACAGGCCTCAATACTGGTTGAGTAACCATTGTACCCAGACCTGGGGTTGGATTCTGGGTTAGGATGAGCGGCTGTCCACCTTGTTGGACCAAAGAATTGCCAGCTAAAGGATAAAAGGAAGAAGAAGGAAAAAAAAACAAAAAAACAACACTGTAAGCCACAATTTATAAGCAACACAATGGTCTTAGGTAAGAAATGGTGTCCCCAAGTATCAAGATATTCAAGACTGTCACTCACCCCAGGTTTAATGTCATCAAACTTACCAAATATTTAAAAGCTTTACTGAAATCTACAATTAACAGAAAAATATATAGATACAGAAAGTTCACTAAAATCTCTCTCATATATCTTAACTTGCTGTTATTTAATTGCTAAATTGTGTCCAACTCTTTTGCGATCTCATGGACTGTAGCCTGCCAGGCTCCTCTGTCCAAGCAATTTCCCAGGCAAGAATATTGGAGTGGGTTGCCATTTCCTTCTCTAGGACATCTTCCTGACACAGGGATTGAACCTGCGTCTCCTGCACTGGCAGGCAGGTTCTTTACCACTGAGCCATCAGGGAAACCCATGTATCATAACAAGGCGTGTCTTAACACACACGGTCAGACTTGTACATGGCTATCACTTTGATGATTCAAGCGACCACATATAACTTCCCCATACCAAGTCAGCAAAACCATGTAACGTATAAATTCTTTCTCCATATTTTTACTATGTAAAACCTATTTTATTGGAATGTGATTTGTTGTTACTCTACCTTAAACTTTTTAAAAGAGGAATATTCATCAACAAACATTAATTCAGCAAGTACACAAAAGAATGGGATCACTTCCTAGTGAACCAAATCTCAGAAATGCAACAGATTCTCTAAATATCCATTGTCTTGTATAGGTATGTATAGGTATGGAAACAGACTTCATGTCATTAAAACTTATAAAGAAAACACCTGCCAAAACTAATAAACATGACTTCAGAAGATTCCTTCATAAATAAATAATACCAATATCATAAATATTTTCAAACTGAAGTATTTTAAATTCTTTTTCCTGTGTGATAAAAGTAACTTTAGAAATGTTTTAAGTCCTCTATTTGCTGTATGTTCTCAGTTGCTCAGTCATGTCCAACTCTTTGTGGCTCCTTGGACTGTAGCCCACCAGGCTCCTCTATCCATAGGACTTCCCAGGCAAGAATCCTGGAACGGGTTGCCATTTCTTATTCTAAGGGCTCTTCCCAACCCAGGGATTGAACCCTTATCTCCTGAGTCTCCCGCATTGGCAGGTGGATTCTTTACCGCTAGCTCCACCTGAGAAGCCTCCATTTGCTAAGTTTGGCTAAAAAATCATTAACACTAAGTTTTCTGATTTACAAAGACTACTCTAAATTCTATTTCAGAGAGCCAATATGCCTAAATCAAAGATTCAAGCAAAATACTGCAGCTCTTTTCACTAAAATGGGATGGACTCCTCTGAAGTTTTAAATTACATGTGACAAATGGCGTTACTAGATAGCTACAAAGCTAGACCACCCAAAGTGGGTATATAAGTGGCTGGCTATTAATGGACCAATAGTGACTTGTCCCATGTTCTCCCAGAAACTGAGAGACCACCAGTGGACTAGACTCTCATAGTTACTGGGTCAGCAGACAAGTAATTATAGAAGCTGACAGACAAAAAATTCCAAGTTCTGTCTATGCTAATCATATGGGTCTTTCTCTCTATATATATTTCAACTTAAATATTTTATTATGAAAACGTTCAAATATATATAAAAATAAAATACTATAATAAACCTCCATGTACCTATACCAGCTTCAGTAATTATCAACTTAAGGCCAACCTTCTTTCATCTGTACCTCACACCCTCTTACCAGCTCCCATATTATGCTGAAACAAGTATCAGATCATATCATCTATAAATACTTCAATATATTATCTCTAAAAAATAAAGATCCTAAAAAAGAGGAAATATAACATCATTATCACTCCTAAAAAATATTATAATTCTGTGACTACAGTGGATAACAGTGTACGATATAATTAAAGTTTGCCAAGAGAACTTAAACATTCTCACTAGTCCTATCCCAGACCCCCAAAATGAAAAATATGTGAGGTAATGGATATGTTAATTAACTAGACAAAATCCTTTCACAACACATACAAATATCAAATCCCCACAATGTACACATTAAGTATCTTACAATTTTATTTGTAAATTATACCTCAATAAAGTTAAATTTATAATTCTTGGGGGCTTTCCTGGTGGTCCAGTGGTTAGGACTCTACACTTCCACAGAATGGTGCACAGGTTGGATCCCTGGTCTGGGAACAAAGATCCCACATGCTGTGCAGTGCAGCCATAAATAAAACAATTCTTTGATATTAAATATCCAGTTAAAATTCAAATTGACGATTATATTTTTTTGTTTGAGTTGGGTTACAAAAGGGTTCATAAAGTACAACTGATGGACATCTTAAATCTCTTTTAATCTATAGCTTCCCCATCCATCTCTTTTTATTCCTTCACAATTTATGGTTGAAAAATATTGACTAAATAAAAAAATATATTTTCTATTCATTATTTTAACTGCTAGGGTAAAAGAAAATAAATTATCTGTTATTTATCTGAAACTAAAAATTCTTAAGATAAAATCAATGACTCAACATCTCATCTAAATATAGGAAGGGAAGGATGGAAAATTTTTTGTGTTTATGTGCAATCAACTAGCATTAGAAAGTCTCAAAAGACAGGCCTTGTTTCCATGAAATCTATACATAGTCTACTACTATAAAGAATGTTAACACAAGCATTTTCTGCAAATATTCTCGGATGTCAGGGTCATGTTTGAATTTTGATGAACTGTTAGGACCTTTCCAAAAATAAAAGGCAAACAAAGAAGGTTTCTAAGCCTAGACTAGGTTTACAATTCAACTGAAAGCAAAACCAGCATATGGCAAGTCACCCAGAGTAAGTATTTATTTAATTAATTCTATAAATTATTCTAATAATTCCAATTCAAACAAATGAATTGTTTTTAATGATTCCTGCATTCTTCTTCTTTCCTAAAAGAAATGCTGACAATTCAAAAGTTTTCCAAAGTTCTATTTCCAGAAAATGAAGAAGGCAGTCAGAATCTTGAGGCTTAAAAAAGCCTTTAAAAGAATCATCCAACCAGTTCTCTACCTGGAGGTCTGCTCTCAATTAAGTACCACAGCCTTAAGCAGATTAAATAATAGAACATCCCATGGCTTCTCTCAAAACACATTCTGTTTACTTTACAAATTTGAAGGTCTTGATTTTTTTCACTAAGTTTATTTACATAGCCTTAAACCCCAGAGATAAGAGGGCTAAATGGAGTTGAAATGGACCAAACAGGAATTGAAAATCCTAATTATAGTAAAAAAAAAAATCTGTAACATTAAATTCACATCATTCACAGCTCAGAATCAGGCAGTAGGTCATTTCATTTCATAATATTCCTTTCCAATGCATACATACGGTCAGCCAGAACTATAGGAATAATTTCTAAATGCTGAGTGATGGATTCTGAAGAATGGCAAAATCAATAGTAAAACATCTGTAATCTTATTCCTAACATTTTCTTAAAAAAGAAAAAAGCCTTACTGAGATGTAATTCACATATCATACATACTGTATCACCCACTTGAAGTGTACAATTTGAAGGCTCTTTAGTATATTCACAGGTTTTGTGCAATCATAACCACTATTTAATTCCAGATTTCATCATCCCCAAAAGAAACTGTATACCCATTAGCAGTTATTCCCCATTCTACTTCCCCCAGCCCTGGCAACCAACAATCTTACTTTCTGTTTCTATAGATTTGTCTATTAACGGCATTTCATAATAATGGAGTCATACAATATGTGGTGGCCTTTTTATATTTGACTCTTTCACTTAGTATGTTTTCCAAGGTTCATTCATGCTGTAGTATATATCACTATTCCACTTCTTTCTATGGCCCAGTAATAGTCCGTTGTATGAATACACCACATTTTGCTTATTCATTCAACATCTTAGGTAGTTTTCACTTCTGGGCTATAATGAATAATGCTGGCATTTCAAGAGTATTTCATAAAAGTCACACAGTTGTATATTTCATACAAAAAAGAAAGCTACACAAACTCAATCTATTAATGTGTGCTCATCTATGCATGAAAGAAATTTTAAGCCTTTATTTTTTTTTTGGCTGTGAGACTTATATGATCTTAGTTTCCCAACCAGGGATTGGACTCAGGCCCTTGGCAGTAAAATCTCAGAGTCCTAACTACTGTACCACTAGAGAACTTCCAGAACTAATGAATTTCTGGAAGAACACACAAGACATATGTAACTGTAGTAACCAGTCTATATCTTTTTTTTAAAACCATGAACATGGGTTAACATTTTAATTTGAATACTAGAGCTTTTTAAAGTAAATAAAATCAATTTTTATACTTCAAAAAATTTTTTGCACATAGGCCACAGGAATCAAAGGTCCATTCAAAGAAATTAAGTCATGTGATGCTCATCTTTGGCCTCAGAACGCTGTGATCAAAGGAAAATTTGGCAAAACTGGTTGCTCATAGCACTTTGACAAGATTATTTTAAGAGAAACATAGGAAAGTAGTATAATGCAGTGGGAAAGCCACAAGTTTTGAAGTCTAAATAATTCAAATCCAGTTTAGTCACTTACTATTTGACCTTAAGTATATTATTCAGATTCTCCACACCTTGGTTTCCACATCTGTAAAAATGAAAAAAATCTCTAACGGTTCCTCATCTTTATATATATATATATATGAGGGTCACTGATTATATGTTGAAAAAGAATTCTAGGAATTTTTCATGTAATAAAAATTATTCTTTTGATATCCAAAGACTGACTGGTGAGGCCGTATGTAGAGCAATCTCTTATGGAAACTTGATACTATTAAATTTTAAATGCCTGACCCAGCAATCTCACTTTATACGACAGATATGCTTACATAGTAGGCACAGATATGATGCCTGAGAATGTTCATCGTAACGATTTATAATCACAAAAAATGGGATTTAATAAATGTCCAAAAATATGGAAGGTAAGTGGTTATATCCGAAAGTAAGAATATTAGGTTCACGTCTACTGGAAATATAAGATACAACATGTCTAGATGGCCATTTCAGGAAAAATACTGATCAAAATCCTTAAAAATTGTGATAACCTCTGATACAACAATTTGACATTTAGAAATGTATTCTCAGAACTAAGGATATGAGAAAAGACAGATGTTTACAAAAACTCTAAAAGTAGTAGTATACCGCTTTACAACCTATTGCTGAGGACTGTTAACCAAACAACAGCAAATAATCATCAAAAATGTTACATAAAGATTTATTAAAATGAGAAGATAGTCACTACATACTAAGGGAGAAAAGCAATTAGAATCTGTATGGGCCCATTTTTATAAGGAGTGAATCACTTCACATAGCATATAGATGCACATAAAGCACATATATGGGGACTTCCCTAGCTGTCCAGTGGTAAAGTGCCAATGCAGGAGACACAAGTTTAATCCCCGGTCTGGGAAGATGTCACATGGCAACTAGACCTGTGTGCCACAACTATTGAGCCTTTGCCTCAACCACTAAGCCCTAGGGCCCATGGTCAGAAACAAGACACACTGCTGCAATGAGAAGCCTGTGCACCGCAACTAGAGAGTAACTAGAGAAAGCCCACACAAAGCAACAAAAACCACGTGCAGCCAAAAATAAGATAAAGAAACGAATTAATTTAAAAGATCCATATAGTACAGAATAAGTTACAAATAGTTATCTCCAGGTAGTAGGATTACAGTTAAAAATTGTTTTCTTCCTCCTTTTACTGTCCCCTTTTTCTACAATGCACATATTAGTCTTGTAAAGTTAAAATTAAAAATAAGTCCTTTATAGCAGTGCAATAATTCTATGAAGATGTTTACTCTAGACATGAACCTTGAGACAGAACTTGCCAATAACGCATTTGCAGAATGTAGAAACAGTCATCAGAAACAAAGTAGGAGGTATGAGAGGAAGGAGACAATAAAAAATGGTACAAGGAAGCTCATGATCGACCTTTGAATAGTAGGAGTTTTAAGTATGCTGTTAAAAGTCTGAAAGGGGCCATTATGAAAATTATCAGACTGTAAGAGAAATGTGTGAGCTCACTAAACAAGGATTTCAGTGTAGATCTGTCTTTATCAAATGAAGTTAAAGCAAGAAGCTTTAACTATAGTTAAAGTTTGAATGGAAGAGCCTGCCATTGTTGTTCCACATCTGGTAGTTGCTGTTTACATTCCTATGAAGGAAGCCTTCGTAAGCTTTTTGGCAGGTACATGGTGAACACTTCAGTTGCATGGTCAAGGAAGGATCCAAGGTCATGGATACTACAGCTGATTTGTCTGTTTTCTTCTGCCTCATCCTGATTTACAAGCAAAATCTAGAAAACCTGCAAAAGTAAGTGTCTGGTGGCTTATCTAGGAATACTACAAAAACAATGCTGTTATTTTTGGTAAAGAAAATCAATTTTGTATAGTTTATTTCAATGTGAATTTTGTGTAAAGTTCAGGATTTTTTTGGTGGGGATGAAACAAATTCTTGTGGTAAATTCTCTTTTCAAAAATATTTATCATCTTCACAATTGAAGACAAGTTCTTTTTTTTTAATCTTTCCTTTTTTGGTATTTGGTTTACTACTTTGGGGAATAAAAAAGCCATTTTAATTGTGAAATTATTAAGATTTATCTAACTTTTAAAATATTACACGCTATATGACCCCTGATATAAATTGTTAATGCTGTATAATTGTTGCTGGCTAATGTAAATGAATGAATATTGCAAAGAAAAGAAAATAGAAAATGAAACAGAAGCCAATACTATATAACTTCACTAGTCAATAAACTCACTAAAAAAAAAACCACTACTCTTTCACCATTTCCTTCAGGTAGACAACAATCCTATCCTATTTTCCACACCCAGGAACCAATGACCAAATGAAGCTGCCAAAGAAAATATGGAACAAAACTGCCCTGAGAGAATTCTTACCAGACTAGTGGGGCTCTTCTAATTAAAAACAAACAAGCAAACAAACAATCCCACCCCCTTCATATCTCCTTAACAGTTAGGAATTTGGGGTTTACATTTTCTTTCCTAGAAATTATCAGTAATAAGAAATCAGCTGCCCCCTGACCTGAAACACCAACATCGATTCAGCACTAACTCAGAGGAACACCACCACTGACTTCCGTATCAGAGAGTCAGGACTAAACTCACTTCAACAGCAGCAGAACCACATCATTTCCTAAAACTGAACAGGTCCAGCTAATCTTAAAACCACTTTTAGTCTCTGAACCCTCTAGCCCAGGAAGAATTTCCCAGTAATCCCACTTACCATTGTTGTTGGCAATGAGTGTGACAAGAGTCTTCTTTGTACTGTCGCTGTTCTGTGCCCCGCTGCTACTAACGGTGGTGGATGCAGAGAGGTGCCCAGCAACAGAAGCATGGGCAGCGGCGGGCACTGGAGCCGAGACAGGCTGCTGGCTCACAGAAACTGCGGGGAAGGGGAGGCACAGTCACTCGGAGACAGGGACAGAGGACACTGAAGGACACTTTTCTCATCTTTCATCTTATTGCGGGTCTCAATAGCCAAAAAGTTTCCTGCTTTATTCGTAAATCTGACTGTTATCTGATTTCTCCTCCTATGTGTCCCTCACGCCACAAATGAGGCACAATGCCTTCTTTTTTGTCTCCGATTTCCTGTGAATTACGTTAGATTACAGGCTCCCTGAACCAGATTTCACTATTTTGCTTATAGAGCACAAGCAAACCTCTAGAACTCAAAAGGCTTATTATCACCACTACTGGTATTCATAACCATGCATTAGTAAGCTGTCCACAAGACCACCAACTATCCTGTTTCAAACCAATGCCATCTTCAGTTCTCAAGGCAGGAAAGATTAAAAACAAAAAAAGAGCAACAGATACAATTCAGGGGAAAAAGAACTACCACCCACTTTATGAATTTAGGGCAACCTAGAATTTGACCCTGCAACCGCACCTTTTTGAAAGAGAAGCTACAAGCCTAAGTTTGTAAACTGTCCCTGAAGACAGACACAAAGCAAATTCTGCTCAGCTCACAAAGGAAACTAAGTTCAAATAAAACAAACAAAACAATCTCTCAAGACTATGGGAAAGTGTTTTTGACTGGGTATATAAATGAACACTAACACACACCACTTGTTCACACATCATTTGGTAAGAGAACTGCTTATGTGTTTGATAAATATTGGTTAACTCAACTCTCAATGTTTTTAATTTACTAAATATAGTGTTTCTAGCTTTGTGTATAAGGAAAACCAAAGTACGTACAGACCAGAGAATAGGGGAAAAGGTAGTACCAGTGCCACAGAGAAGTAACCCTGAATTCTTAAGTCTTCCACCTCATACTTTCTTAACAAAAATGCCATTCAGTTCAGTCAATATAACAACAATCTAAGGTCAAAGAGTTCTGTTACCTGTGGTAGCTTTGTCCACTGAATTATAATCCTCAACTACGGAATCCTCAATGACGTCACTGATCTTCTGCCATGGCTCCAACTCCTCCTCCTCACACTCCATGAACAGGTCGGTGTCCGCCATGCTACAAGAAGAAAAGGTTAAATGAGACACTGACCTCACAATGGGAGAAACAGTTTTATACAAAAGATGGAATCAGACTCTGAAGCTACTGGTAACCTACACCATTGTGCTTCCTCTACCATATCCCCTAACCTCCCCCATTTTCAAGGTTCCAGAATTATAACTTTTATTCTTAAAAAAAAAAAATTAATGTGGAAGACTCCACAGCAAATTATTTAATAATTACGGTTAAAAAAATTAAAGCTATAATACTCAGGACTGGGATTAGGGTGAGGTGAACTTCGTAAGTGGGGGGGTCAGACCTTTTTTCTTTAAAATTGGTACTTTGCTCATTATGAATTTTTTTGCGCGAATATTGAATTTTTAAAAATGATACATTCACCATTTGAGGAAAGCATCCTATGAACTTGTTTGGAAAACCAGGAACTTTTGAAGAAATCACTAACCATTCTGTCTCTAGACTGCTGTTCTACTGATGCTGGACTTGAGGTACAACATTCCCAGCCTCCAGCCAACTCTGCTTGCTTCAGACTGGCCTCCACAATCCTAATTGGCAACAGCCATGTTCTTAGTATCATCCTGTTGCTACTGTTTTGAAATTCAGTGGTATTTGTATGTGGACAGACTCCTTGGTTTGTCATATGTCTGAAGTCAAGGGGAGATTCTGTCAGCAACCAAGGTCCTCTCTGTTCACTCCTGAATGGATTTCCTCCAAGGACATGGCTTATCCCTGAATATGTGCTACCAAATCCATGTGGTGGTTGTTTCATCCCTAAGCTGTGTCCAACTTTTGCAACCCCATGGACTGTAGCCCGTCAGGCTCCTCTGTCCATGGGATTTCCAAGGCAAGAATACTGGAGTGTGTTCCAATTCGTTCTCCAGGGGATCTTCCTGACCCAGAGATCGAATCCCAGTCTCTTGTATTTAGCAGGCAGATTCTTTACCACTGAGCCACCAGGGAAGTCTATATCTATCTAAGCTTCTATAGCTATAAATATATTTAAAGGTATTTATAAAATATACCAAATCTATAAAAGTATATAATTATACCATTCCCTAGATTTCCTCTAATTGCTTAATATATTGTACAAATTTAAACACACTGCATCCTTAAAGTTGTCTGACCATTTACCTTTATTTCAAAAATCTTAATATACTTAAGCTCTGTGGTGAAATTTAAATGTAAATAAAATAAAAATAATAGCATAAAAATGATATACAAAATACTATTTATCTTGATAACTGAGCCTTTTTGTACTCGAGATAAGAGCCACACTCTAATTTCAACCTATGTGCATGCGTGCGTGCTCAGTACTTGACTCTTTGTGACCCCATGAACTGGGCACCACCCGGGAATTCCAACCTTAAACTCCACGATGATTTTGGGAGTCAGCCTTTAATTTGAAAACACTGCTTGAACTACATTCTTCTTTTTAGAAATAAAGCCTACCTCTTTGCAATGCAAACGAACAGCTATTAATGTTATGCTGCCCTCCAATATTAGTTGAGTAATGGAATGGGAGTAGCACTACTGCCCAGTGTTCAAACAAAGCTTACACTGCAAGAGCTCTCAGTGCCTCAGCATCTCAGAGTTTTTTCCACCACACCCCTAAGGCAAAACAACCAACCAATTTAACCATCGCGTTAGGGCCACACAATTTGATAGTTTGCAAGATGCCCAACAGATGGCGTTGTCTACCTGAAAATTCAAAATATTCCACAGCTAGTCAAGGGCCCGTTTTAACGGGTAAAGTGCTTTGCCTGGTTCTAAGTGGAATCTAATATTCTAATTATTTCTGTTTTCTCAAATCAAAACCATAAAGGAGAGATGCTATGAGTAAGGTAAGAAAAAGCTCTAAGGTATCAACTTAAATTTCCTTGTTGTTTAGTTGCTAAGTCGCGTCTTGACTCTTGAGATTCCATGGACTGCAGCCCACCAGGCTCCTTTATTTGTGGGATTTTCCAGGCAAGAATGCTGGAAGGGGTTGCCATTTCCTTCTTCAGTAAATTTTCTTAGTTTTGCATTTAATTTACATATACAAAAGACAATGTTAGCCAGAAACTGAATTAAAAAGCCAAATCTGTATCACAAGCTTTCTTTGAGTCAAGCCTACACAACACACTTTTGTATTTTCCAGTCTAGTTCCACTGAAAGAGATAACATTCTAAACAACTTTTTTTCTAACTACTTAATTTTATACTAATGTTCTTTACTGTATAACTGTCTTAGAGTCCAAAGCCAACAGATAATTCATGCATCCTATAAAACATCCATCAGAATGAATATAAACTGTGCATAAATGTTTTTTAAGGACTTTCAGCTCTAACCAGCTGCAAGCAGAATCCTCATACATATACTGAGGAATCGGTAGAAAACTTTCTATGGGAATAAATAGAGCTATCTGAATGCAAATTGTGGTTTTCAGTGTCATGAATATGGATATTTTAATAGCATATTCAAAGGCTAGTCTTTTACCTCAACTACTTATAGCATCTTAAGAAACTGAGTTCACGTTTTGTCAAACAATGAAGATTAATAAAAATAACAAAAGTTTCCTCCACCTCACAGTCAAATTATGTTATTTCCACCATGAAGAAGGTATTCTAAGAAACAAAGAGTGGAAAAGGCAGCTGTGAAAAGATGGCAAGAAGGACATTTATGTCCTAATTACTTTTTACCAAGTGAGAAAAAATAACTCCCAAGGGTATATGCTCTGCCAAGACAACCAATGTAAATTAAAGGGTTCAAGATAGAAAATTCAACTCAGAATATATTTTTCAAGATTTTTACTATGTGAAAGATGGAGTTAACCAACAAGGCGTATCAACTCAGAAAAGTAATAAATCTGCTGACTGAACATGTTTTATGACTTACACCCAAAACATCTCAGAAAAGACACTGAAACCAAATTTTTCAAACAGTTCTCAATTCTGATCTAGACTCTGTATCTGAGAATGGGATCATTCCTTTCATTCATTTCATCTATAGCTCAGGGTCAAAAAATTAACTCTGCTGAAGAGATGGGCCATGCCAAAATAGGTATCAACCTGAAGTAAATTCCTTGTAAACTTTAAAAATGAAAAATGAAAATTTAGTATCCTTTTGTAGTTTTCCAGCTATCAAAAAGGAATTCTCATTAATACAATGAAGTGCTATATTTAATATCTCCACCAAGATGCTCAAGAAACACAATCATTCTCTGATCCATGAGAATACAGTCAAGTGATCTATGGCATATAATTAGTTACCTTTCAACTATTTTTGGACAAAGACGACAAGAATTACTATATATGTAGTACTAAAATGTATAAATCTTTCCAAACAGTCTACTTGTATTTAACTTCTCTCCACACTAAACCTTCAGCTTTATTTCTCACAAGGAGAAAAAAAAAAAAAAATCTGTAAATTTTCCCTCTCTATTATTTTGCTATAAAGGATAAGTGTACTCATAGGCTTGGCGTATATTTCACACTAAAAAACAAAGTTATGTTCAAGTTGAAACCTTTTCATTTCTCCTGAAAAAGTGCCAGGTAAAAATGTGAATTTTGGAAATTCAAGGCCAGCAGGTAGGGAACACCATGCTCATCAAGAGGAAAACCTGGACAGGCATCGAATTTGAGAATCACACTGCAGTAAAGTAAAGGGGCAAACCCCCATGAGACTGCAACTCTGAGTCAGTATCCAGGGTTCCTTTCCTGCTGTTCTTAAAAGAAGGTATAAACTTTGATTATACACAAGAGTAGGGAGCTCCCTGGCAGTCCACCTGTGAGGACTCTGCTTCAACTACAGGGGGCCCAGGTTCGATCTTTGATTGGGGCACGCGCGCGCAAGTGCACGCACGCGCAAGTGCACGCACACACCCAACCACCCATAACCCAGCTTTAACAATGATCAACCAGGCTTTCCTGATGGTCCAGTGGTTAAGAAGCCACCTTGCTATGCTGGGGTCACTGGTTCAATTCCTGACCCAGGAAGATCCTGCACGCCCTGAAGCAACTAAGCCCATGAGCCCTAACTGACTGCTCCCACGCTCCACAACAAAACAAGCCACCACAATGAGAAGTCTGCACACCGCAACTAGGGAGTAGCCCTTGCTTGCTGCAACTGGAGAAAGCCTGTGCACAGCAAAGAATACCCAGCACAGTAAAAAAATAATTTTTTAAAGTATCAACCAATCTTATTTCATTTACGCCCTCTTTCCTTCATATTATTTTGAAATTAATTCCTAATATCACATTCCTAAATATTTTGTGTGTTGTATACGCTCAATCATGTCCAACTCTTTGTGACTGTAGCCATCCTCTGTCCATGGAATTTTCCAAGCAAGAATACTGGAATGGGTTGCCATTTCCTACCCAAGGGGTTCTTCCTGACCCAACGATTGAGCCTGCGTCTCCAGCATTGGCATATGGATTCTTTACCACTGCGCCACCTGAAATATATTATGTATCTCTAAAAGATAAGGTCTTGAAAAGAATCATGTATCCAAAAGTAGAATAAAAAAAAATCACAGAGAATTCGTTGGCAGTCCAGTGATTAGGACCTGGCGCCTTCACTGCCAGGGCAGGATCTGATCCTTGGCTGGGGAACTAAGATCCTGCAAGACACCCAGCCAAGTTAAAAATTAATTAAATAAACAAGTCATAGTACCATTAACATGCCTAAAAGATTTATAGTCTCAATATCAAATATACAGGCAACACTGAAACCTCAAATTCTCTCAAATACCGTCATTTTTTTTAAAGCTTTATTTATTTTTGGCTGCACTGGGTCTTCACTGCTGTATGTGGGCTTTCTCTAGAGGCAAACAGGGGCTCCTCTTGGCTGCAGTGTGCGTGCTTCTCATTGCAGTGGCTTCTCTTGTCCTAGAGCACGGACCCAAGGTGAGCGGGCTCAGTAGTTGTGTTACATGGGTTTAGTTGCTCTTTGGCATGTGGGATCATCCTGGATCAGGGATCGAACATCCCTGAACTGGCAGGCAGATTCTTAACCACTGGACC